GGGAGGGGCAGAGAGAGAGGAGAGAATCTCAGGCAGACTCACACTGTCAGCACAGAGCTCTACGTGGGGCCCAAACTCATGAAACCATGAGATCATGACCTGAGTTGAGATCAAGAGTCCAACACTTAACCAACTGAGCCATGCAGACACCCCGAGAAGAGACTTCTTATGCTCTCACCTTGGTCCAATTTTTATATTACATTCTCATCCAGATTTTATAATGCAACAGTGGGGGATAAGAATGGAATTGACATCTGAATGCATTTTAATATATGCAAATATCACTTCAATCATACAAAAAAGGGGGCACCTGCGTGGCTCAGTTGGTTAAGCATCCGACTTCTGCTCAGGTCATGATCTTACAGTTCATGAGTTCAAGCCCCACGTTGGGCTCTATGCTGACAGCTCAGAGCCTGGAACTTGCTTTGGATTCTATGTCTCCCTCTCTCTCTGCCCTGCTATCTCTCTTGCTCTTACTTTCTCTCTCTCAAAAATAAATAAACATTATTTTTTTTAAATCATGTAAAAACATGGCTAAATCCCTGAAATAGTAACTGATACTATTATTAAATTTTGCCTTATGAAAAAATGTATTTTAAATGATAATATTTTGCCCAAACCTAAGAAAAATGGCACAGATTTGAATAACATTTCTTCAGTTAGGTTTTCTTATCATGCCATGGTTTATGGTCCTTGTCAGAGATCTTTCCTGGAAGGTAGACATTCTGTGGACGCTAGAACACATGTACAAACTTTCCTGTTGTAAATTTCTCTGCACAGAAGAGAGTAATTCAGTGTGGATAATTTCAAAGATGTTGATACAAATAAATATTATGTTTGCTTGCTGTCACTGGAAGATGGGAAAAAAATAAATGGGAAATTTTTATTTCAAAAAACAAATACATATAATTTTGTGATATATATAAATATATATTGTATATTATGTTATTTATATTTTTATACACCCTATATGTGTATTGTGTGTGACTTTCCATATATATGGTAACTTACCAATAGTCCATGTTATGAACAGCTTAACTCATCAGGATGTTTCAACACATTATCAATTTCCAACTGACATAGTAAATTATATTATATAAATATACATGTAAAAAACAGCCAATTCACATCCAAAGTAGTTTCAACTATTAGCTATCACATCATGGCCATGCCTATTTATGAATATAAGAACAAAGTTGTCCCAAAGCAGTCCTCTGTCAAAAGTCATTTCAAATATAGTGACAGATTTAACTGAATTGAAATGTGACTCCTCTCTTTAACTTCTGGTTGAACAGAAGTACTTTCCAGATAGCACCTTATAAGAATAAAAATAGCAGTTTGGAAGAGTTTTTTGATAGTCTCATCTCTAAAGAATGTTCAGATTTTGGAAATAGTTCATTACAATTAGACATCTATTTCTTCTTAAAAAAAAAAGTGCGCAGATGCATTTGCCTTTATGGGCATTTGCAATAGGTTGGGATGTCTTCCTTGCTGCACTTTATGGTTCAGAGCCCCAAATTTTACAATCTAATGGCAAGGGACATTCTGATTCTTATTCTATCAGTCAATGCAAGGCAAAGGAATAATAAAGAAAAATTCACTAAACATATCCCACTAAACAACCAAAAATGTGATCATTTGGCATAGACCTAGTATCGTTATAATTGAACATATTTCATACTTCTTTCTTGTAGGATTAACTTAAACTTGAAAAAAAATACTTTTATAACTTTTTATGTATACTCTATGGTCCACTTCAAATCATTTATTAAATAAAATAATATTAACCTTTTTTCACACTGAACACTATGAAGATAGCACAGATGGCTTTTGCTGAAAGTCAGAACAAATAGGGTTGGATCCTTGAATTAAAAAAAAAAGGGATCAAGTACCATACAGAGTGCAAATTGATATGAAACCACAAGAAGAGAATCTGAGAAAAAGGCTGCTAAGAACACACATCCCTAGCTACAGAGGTTTATGGCGGAGGAAAGAGTGCATCAACTTGCATTCATCCTTATCTTTTTTTTTCCCCTTTCCACCCAGTCAAGCTCCATTAAACAATGAATGAAAGTTATCAAAGTGTATTTACAATGTACCACACCACGGACCTGTGAATTCAACTTGGCAATTTTCTGATAAAGGGATGATATGGACAGGAATGAGCAGATGCCCTGCAAACTGATTTAGAAAGCAGCTCTGATTTTGATCTTTGGGAAGATTAGCTGTTCTGCCTTGCTGGCTAAAGTGAGCTGCCTTACAGATTAAATAAAAAACCTGTTTTAAAGGACTGTTTTATCCATTTCCTGCCACCTGAATGAGTACCTCTTAAAGGTTAAAAAACACTGGGTTACATAGGTTATTTTTCAAATTGCAGTTGTTTATAACATGCAGTATGTAGCAATAAAATAACTCAGATTAATAATCTTAATCTGGGGCACCTAGGTGGCTCAGTCGGTTGAGCATCAGACTTTAGGTCAGGTGATGATCTCACTGTTCCTGAGTTTGAACCCTGCATCAGGCTCTGTGCTGACAGCTCACACCCTACAGCCTTCTTCGGATCCTGTGTCTCCATCTCTCTCTGTCCCTCCCCCACTCACACTCTGTCTCTCTCTCCCTCTCTCTAAAAAATAAACATGAAAAAGGGGCGCCTGGGTGGCTCAGTCAGTTGGGCTTCAGACTTACGCGCGGGTCATGATCTTGCAGTTGGTGGGTTCGAGCTCTGCATTGGGCTCTGTGCTGACAGCTCAGAGCCTGAAGCCTGCTTCAAATTCTGTGTCACCTCCTCTCTCTGCCCCTCCCATGCTCATGCTCTGTCTCGCTCTCTCAATAAATACAACATTAAAAAAATAAAATAAAATAAACATTAAAAATAATAAACAAAATCATAATCTGAAGGATCAAATAATTAGATAAACGCGAACATTAATACTTCTTGAAAGAAGTGTAGACTACATCAAAAAATTAATTCATGGAAGAAAGTGAAAAGATTATTTTGAATATATCATCATTACCAATACCATTTGTACAATTGAAACTATTCTTATCTTGAAAAATAACTGTTGTGTATGCGCACGATATTGAATAAAGAATGTTATTTAAATATATGTGCACACAGACCTACATAAACTATTTTGACTTTGTTTTTCACAAACATCATCAAATTGATTGAGGCCATACGGGGTGGTAAAATCCCTAGTGTTCTTAATTGCATAATATATACTTGTATTTCAGATCCTGCATATATTCAAACCATCCATCAACCTCATTTTTTGCAAATATGCTGTAACTTCCTACTTTACAAAGACCTAGTGCTCAAAAAGCAAGCAGTGCTCTCCTCCCCCAGCTCCCCCACACCAGCTGGATCATTGCAAACTTTGCAATCATTTACTTCAAATCCTATTTGATTTTCTCAGGGATGGAGGCATACCATCACGGGTTGTTTCTTTCTACCCTTGATCAAGATCCTACACAGGGTCATCTCTGCCCCAGCCATCTTTTTAAATCCAATATCCTCTCTTTAGTATCCTAAGTTTCTTGTCTCTATTGACCTTTTACACACCTGCATAGAAAACACACATTCAGTCTCTCAACTTGCAATTAAAATCCTCATTTTATCATGTACTCATTTATATGCTTTATAACACTCCTGGTTACAAATTCAGGAAAGAAAGATTAAAATGATAAAACATTTTAGGTGAAGACATCAATATTTTACATAGTCTAGTGATGAATACTGTTCTGTAAGTATTTACATGCTCTAAATTGCAGTTTGCTGGGGTGCTTCCATGGCCCAGTTGGTTAAGCATCTGATTCTTGATCTTGGCTCAGGTCATGATCTCACAGTTCATGAGATCAAGCCCTGTGTTGGGCTCTGGACTGATAGCATGGAGCCTGCTTGGGATTCTCTCTCCCTCTCTTTCTCTGCCCCTTATTCACTCTCACTCTCTCTCTCTCTCTCAAAAATAAATAAAATGAAAAAAAAATTCTACTTTGTGGCCCCCTTTGTAGCATCTAAAAAATAAGTTAATCCTTAATTTTAATCAATATAAGATTATATGTATTGGGAGAATTAATATATAGTTCAAATAGAAAAGTATAAACAAAACACAATTATGCAGATAGATGACAAAAAGATAGATAGATGATAGACAGACAGACAGACAGACATAGATTAATTCACTTCAGTATCTACAGTAGCACGTCAGGATAAAATTTGTCAACCTATGTTATAAATATATTCTACGGTAGAGTCATCTGGAGTACTTGCTAAAAAGGCCAATTCCTTATCTGCACTCCAGTCTTTCTGAATCAAAATATATGAAGGCAAAGCCCAGGGATCTGAATGTTACTAGGTTTCCAAGCTGAAATCATTCAATATTTAAAGACTAAGACATTCTGCATTAGGAGTTATATTTAAATCTTTCTTTGCTAATATCTGTGTTCCATTTCATTTTTACAATGAGATAAACATAATGTACTCTTAAAAGCAAAAACAATAGATAGATTTAGTCCAATGACAAATTCTTTACAATAAAAAAGAGTCAGGGAGAAGGTTAAGGGTTCCACTAGAGCTGTCTTGATGAATCCATGACTGTCAAACAAAACCCTGTATCCTAGTGAGTGTTAGCGAACATGGTGAAGATTTTTACATTAGTTAGAAAAATCTCCAAATGTTACATAATTTAGTACAACATGAAATAATTAATGTTGTATGCATTAATAGAGCATTAATAGAACTGGAATTCACGATAAGCCTGTTGTCATGGTACATTCTACATCAGATCTTCCATATATATGTCATATATATATATATATTTTTTTTTCTAAGACAGGATCCAAAAAGTCAGACAGAGCCATAATTAAAATGTAATTACATCTTAAAGAGAAAATATTTTAGCATACTAATGACTTGACAATATGGATTATTCATACCATTATGGATAATTCATGGAAAAATGGGTGAATTGCTTAAATCAGAGAAAGTATGCTCTTTTTACCTTCTTTAAAGAAAGGATCCCTTCTCTGGTCTCTTTGTCAGTTGAGATGGAGAATATCCCAATACCATCACCATTAATGATGGAGTAGGTCATGTCAGCATTTGAACCAGTGTCTGCATCATTTGCCTTTATTTTCCCAACAGCTGACCCAACTTGAGCTGACTCAGGAACATACAGCTGATAGTGCTCTGAAAAATATTTCATATTAAAATTTTCTGATGGTAATGGGTTCACAAAAATGTAGTTTCAAAAGAAAAAAGGCATTAAAATGGTTAGACCACATATTCAAACAAACATTGTATTAAGTAATATATAAAATGGATGTGTTTTCAGATTTTAAATGTCAAACTGCTTAGTAGTGAAATACTAGATTACATAAATTTTAAGTATATGTAAAATAACCTATATAAAAATAATTTGTAGGGATCTTAATATAAAATATTTTATTAACTCTACATTCATAGGCAACTGATAAAAGATAATGAAGGTCAGATTTGCATTCTTATGTTGAGCAAAAACTAAATTAGTCAAGTATTAACGAAATCCCCAAAGCATTTCTCCTTCCATGTAGCATGCAAAATTACAATATAAGAGTTAGAAAACTTGAAATTCAAAGTGAAAACAGAGGAAACAATATAATGTACCTGCAAGTATGATTATTATTCTGATCAATACACTTAAGTTTAATGAAATGTATAAGCCATGACAGAGAGACAGTAAACGTATTTATGCACTTAATTACCCTGTATTCCTGATCAGTTTCTAAAAAGAATTTAAGGTGGTTTTACAATAAAGTCTTGAATAAAATAAAGTCATCAAAATGAAAATAATGACTAACTTAAAGAATGAGAAAGAGAAATATAATGACTACATAGGATGATGTCTTATTTGTGATTGAATTAATTTTTACATATATATCCCATAGCCAAAAAACATTAAAACCCTATTGACTCTATAAATCTCATGATCCAATATGCAGACATATCTTTTTCAGTATGTCCTGATACTAAATATTTACACTGAGAAACTTTTTTAAATGTCAGAGTTTGTCCTGATACTAAATTCCTTCAGGGAGAGCTCCTAGAACTCTCTTTATAGAAACTTATAAAATAGGTACTAAGAAACATAATGGCCACATCAGTACCATTGTTTTACTGACCAGTTAGAAACAGATCTATTAAAACAATTTATTTCTTATAGCAAATCTCAAATAACAATATAAATAATGGAAACCTTGAATTAAAATATACTTGTATAAAAGACTTTCAACCAAGACTAAATTAATGGTGATTTAACATTAGGCATGGATTTAATTAGACTATACAGATAAGTGAATGTGGAGCCTATATGAAAATAATTTCCCTAAGCCAATGTTTTGTTAGTTATGGTATGATAATATTTTTTTAAGTTAACATATCTGGTAAATGTGTGGAGTGATCTGTTTCTAAAGATACAATTGTTTGTATTAAAGTTCTATTTGATATATGTGTCTGTTTATTCAAAATTCAACAAAGATTTTTTCCCAGTTCTCTTCTATAAACATTTGAGATGCTACCTGACATTATTTTTTAGTTCAATAGTCCTCACCAACTTAACATTTCCTGGATAGACCACCGTCCTCTATGAAACCCATGATCTTCTGACCTTAATCATGTGGTTTTATCAGGATCTGTCATATTGCAGAACACTCTATCCCTCCTGACATATTTAATTGACCCGCAAAGAGCATGAGGCCCAAATTCTCACAGGACTTCACCTTTCTGCTTGCAGTTGATTTGTGAAAGGTTGGCAGTTGAGTCACAATGATTCAAACAGGGAACATTCCATAAAATGTGAGAACTGGAATGAGGAGAGACCTTTAGTTTCTTTTTGGTGGCAAAGGTATGAAATGTTGGAAGGGGTTCCTGACAATAGTCATGTTTCCAAAATTCATGTTGAAGTACCTAATCTCGGGGTAAAATTCAGTATCAGAAAGAAGGTATAATAATTTTCAGAATCTCTGTAAACACCATAATGTTCCTAGGCAGTTACATAAAATAGAGCACTATTCTATTAAAAAATTAGATAAGGGGCGCCTGGGTGGCGCAGTCGGTTAAGCATCCGACTTCAGCCAGGTCACGATCTCGCGGTCCGTGAGTTCGAGCCCCGCGTCGGGCTCTGGGCTGATGGCTCGGAGCCTGGAGCCTGTTTCCGATTCTGTGTCTCCCTCTCTCTCTGCCCCTCCCCCGTTCATGCTCTGTCTCTCTCTGTCCCAAAAATAAATTTAAAAAGTTGAAAAAAAAATTAAAAAAAAAATTAGATAAAAAAAAGTCAAACATATCTCCTACATTTTTTTTTTCTACGGTAGAAAGGCTAGGAAGTCAAGTTCCTGGTTGCTAAGGTCTCTAAATAATGGCTTAACCTACCACAATTCTGTAAGCCTCCCAAAGGACTCTCACCCAATTAAAACTGGGATAAAAACTTACAAACAAAAGAAGTCTTAGTTCACAGAAATAAATAAACCAATCATAAAATTATTATGCTAGTGTTATTGCAAAGCAGGTTGTTTTTACAAAGAAAGTTACAAAAAATTGTATAAATTAGTCATAAAAGACTCACATTCCAGGAAACATTTAAGCTGTGTCTTATAAGGGGAAGGATATCCCTGGAAGAAGATCATCATGTTCAGAGGAAGGCCTGATATTTGTTGATACATTCTAAGCATTGCAAGCATCGTACCTCTTCCCCATTCGCGATGCTCCATTAGGCAAAATAGAGTGTATTAAGATTAATATTTCAATATTTATTTTTTCATATAGTTGAGAGTTTGTGAATTGTAAATAGTATTCAAATTGTCTCCTAATAACTAGAAAATAGCTGACAGGTAAGATTTACTCAGAAGCCAGAAGATGTTTAGAATATTTTTTAGAACTTCTAAGGACTGTATAAATAGCCAGGTACATAAAAAATACTATAAAATTCCAGGACGATAATTATGGTGAAGCTCTTGAAAGAAAAATTCAACAACACAGCTTCATTGAGGTACAGTTGGTATACAAAGACCTGAACATATTTAATATGTACAGTTTCATGGGTATAAATACACAAAACACTGGCAGTAGCTTCACCAAAATCAAGTTATTAATTTTCTTGTGTCTTTTGCTTCTGTTTTATTTTGCTTTTGTGGTAAAAGGCTGAACATGAGATCTACCCTGTTAACCTATTTTGAAGTGCACAACACTATATTGTAAAGTATAGTTACTCTGTGGTGTGGAAGATCTCTACAATTTATTCATCCAGCATAACTGAAATTTTATGCCCATCGAAAAACAACTTCTCATTTCCTTCAGTCCCCTGCCCTTGACAATCACTATACAATTCTATGCTTCCATGAGTTTGACTATTTTAGATACCTTGTATAAGTGGAATCATGTAGTATTTGTCCTTCTGTGACTTATTTTAGATAATGTTCTGTAGATTCACCCATGTCACACACGGTGGACTCTCTTCTTTAAAAAAAAATATGTTTTATTTATTTTGGAGAGAGACAGAGACAGAGACAGAGAGAGCGAGTGAGCGAGCATGGGCAGAGGAGGGGCAGAGAGAAAGGGAGACACAGAATCTGAAGCAGGCTCCAGGCTCTGAGCTGTCAGCACAGATCCTGATGCAGGGCTTGAACTCACGAACCGTGATATCATGAACTGAGCCGAACTTGGATACTTAACTGACTGAGCCACCCAGGTGCCCCTATTCTTTTTCAAAAGTCTGTGTGATATTCCACTACACACACACGTGTGTGTGTGTGTGTGTGTGTGTGTGTGTGTGTGTGTCTAGAATGACAGAATGATAGAATGATGGTACCTCAGTTTAATAAAGGTCATAATGATAAGCCCATAGCTAACATCATACTCGAAAAATCTACTTAAAGCAATCTGCAGGTCAATGCTATGCCATTTCAATCACAATTCTATTAGCATTTTTTTTCACAGAAATAGAACAAATCTCTTAGACTAGGGAACTACAAATGACACAGAATTGATGAAGCAATTGAGAAAAAAACAAAGCAAGAAGCATCAAACTTCCTGATTCCAAAATATATTATATGGCTATGGTAATTGAAAAACAGTATGGTACCAGCATAAAAATAGACATATAGACCAATGAAACAGAATAGGGAGCCCAGAATTAAACCTATGCATATAAGGTCAGCTGACCTGTGATAAAGGTGCCAAAAGTAAACAGTTTCTTTACCAAATGGTATTAGGAAAACTAGATATATGCATCCAAAATAAATTAATAAATAAATTGGACCTCTACATTATAGTATACACAAAAATCAACTCAAAATGAGTCAACAATGTAAATGTAAGTCTCAAGAATGTAAAATTCCTTAAAGAAATAAAGGTGAATACAGAAAATCTTGACATCAGCTTAGCAATTACTTCTTGGATATGACATCAAAAGCACAAGCATCAAATGGGTAGGGCTACATCAAACTAAAAATCTTCTGCACAGCATAGCAGACAATCAACAGAATGAAAAGGTAACCTACAGAATGGGGGGAAACACTTCCAAACCATAGATCTAATAAAAGGTTAATTTCCAAAGTATATAAGAAACTTCTACAAGTCAATAGGAAAAAAAAAGGCAATTAAAAAACTAGCAAAGCATTTAAGCAGAAATTTCTCCAGAGAAGACATATAAATAGCCACCAATTACATAAAAGATGCTCAAAATCATTAGTTATCAGGGAAATGGGGAAACGCGATTCAAACATATATTTATTTAGTTAGTTAGTTAGTTAGTTAGTTAGAAAGAGTGCAAGTGCGGTAAGGACAGAGAGAAAGAGGCAGAGAGAGAATCTAAAGATCAGCTCAGAGCCTGATGAGGGACTTAATCTCACAAACCATGAGATCATAACCTGACCCAAAATCAAGAGTCTGATGCTGAAGCCACTGAGACACCCAGGTGCCCTCAAAACTACATTTAGACATCACCTCACACCTAGTAGAATAACTATTATCAAAACACAAAAGATAAATGGTGTTGGTATGGTTCTGGAGAAACTGGAACCCATGTATACTCTAGGTAGAAACTTAAAATGGTGCAGCAACTATGGAAAATAGTATGGAGTTTCCTCAAAAAAAAAAAAAAAAAAAAAAAAAAAAAAAAAAAAAAAAAAAAAAAAGTAGAACTACTATATGACCCA